GCCATGGATTGCAGTGGGAACTGGTAGGCGGGAGGATGTGTCGACCTTGCTGTCCCTCCCTGAACACAAATCCAGATCAGACTTCGGTGTAGTTCTTACGCGGCAGCTGCAATGTTAACAATTCCAGGCAGAGATGTTGGTATTTTAGCTTGGAAAGATATACCCCTATTAGGGCCATCACGTTTTACCTGAAGCTTATTCGTCAAGCTTTGTATAGGACACGTAAAGCCAGTTTCCACGGGACATGTGCAGAGGAGACTGCTTCCTTCCCCCCTCCCCAGGGTTTTATAAACGCAGAATGTAACTTCATAGAGCAAATCCCAGCAGTCTGTACCCTAACCATGTCTCCCGCCCCCGGAGAGCTAGCTGTATTTGTCCAAATGAGGGATCTATATTGTGTGGGGGCGAATGACAGTGAGTCTATACTTTGTGTACATGTGTGCCTATAGGGTATAGCTGAAGGCATAATTTTCTTATAGCCATATCCTATATTATAATGCTACATATGTGTAAATATGGCAGTATGCTTAGCTATGGCAGTAGCCCAACTTGGGAATTAAGCAGTACATAAAAAACCCCAACCGGCTCTCATATGCATTGCACTCATACATACATAATATGCCATGGACGCAGAACTAGATCTATAACTAGATATGTGCACGAGGAGTCAAAATGTGGTATATAGGAAGCAGAGCTCTTTCTTATATTGATTTCAAGAATGTTTTACATCATATAACAAACATGCACCGTGACTTGTAAAACAGGCAAAATGAAGAGAAACCAACGATGTATGTTTTCGAACTAGAAGTAGATATAGAATAGGAATAATTTTTTAGACATGGAAGCAGGTACAAAATGAGGAAAACGGAATAAATACATAAATCATGAAGCAGACAAAGCTTGTGATTAGATACAAAAAGCTTGTGATTGTTTTTAATTTACCATATTTAGTAGTCCTTTTGAAAGAAAGCCAGGGTGTTCATTCGCAATGAGTTTCAAAGGGGATGGTGAAGGCAGCTTGCTATGCTGTAGCCCCTTGAACAGCATTACACTGGGTCATGATGACGTGTGACAACACAGGGGCTGCTTACTAGTGAATAGCGTAATGCCCGTGGAAAGTGGACCAAAGTCTCCTTGGCAATTCTTACTCATACATCCTGGGGGACAGTTTTACATTTGTGACCCGTTGATTGGGAGCCAGTTCTGACAACAGGACACACGAAGCACATGTCTGAAGCCTCTTACGTGGAATGAAAAGGAGTTTACATAGGATGGGGGGAAAGGGGAAAATCTGGAGGAGACCAGTTGAGGTGCAAAGCACTTGACAAAACACCTGCTGCATATAATTAAACAGGAGGCTCCTTTCTTTTATAACCAGACTGGGGGAAAAAGAGAAACAAATGGCTGAACTCTTTATTTCGTAGTGCAGCTTTATGGTACACTGCAGTATTATTTAAGTATTGTACACATTTCACAATCCTTATTAGGATAGCTTCCTATCAGATCGTACCTTAAAGGGAGCTTGTTGCCCGGGTCTTAATGATTTGCGGGACTTATTTCAATATACGGACTTCTAAAGGGTAAAGGAGATTGCGACCTGTAAGTAGTAACAAGTCAGGCTTAAATATTAATTGAGAAACACCGAGAAGTAACAGTAACACTATTTCCTCCAGCAGTCAAGCAGAACAAGAAAATATATGTGGTTTGTAAAACCACTAACGGAGATTTCCTTTGAAATTCCTTCAAATATTTATCAGCTGCAAACACTTGTCTTTCAGTACATCTGGCAAAACTGGGGGATCTAGTTTGTTTTTAAAGCAGCTCTCTTTAAAACTAGACGCATCGGGTTACTTTTCCAATGTACATTCCTCCCTTCTTCCTAACTATATGTATCAACAGGTGTCTTAATTGGATAAATGAGTAAGCACTGTTTGGATATTTTGTGAACCCCACCGACTATTTTTGGTGTCACTTCGCTGTTTATATTTACACAACGCAAGCTATTCCAGATTAGCTTTCGTAGCCTCTAAATCATTTTCTTTGGGAAATACAGATAACCATTTTTTAAAAAATGCTTTAAATACATGGGAGTATGTACCCGTGAGGCCCTTCAGAGACATTTATCATCTCCCCAAAATATAGAGATGCTATTTATCTCGCCAGTCGTACAATGAAGAGTATTTTCCTTGAGATTCGCCAAAGGAAAATCATGCTACAAGCCAAACGGGTTTGCCTTTTGTGTTTTTTTCTCCTCACTGATAACGCTAAACTGCTGATCCAGATGTTGTAATAAGTGCACTGAATGTGTGAGCAGGTTATGCAAGGAAGAGTGACATTGTTAACAGAAAACATCTAATTAACAATGACTTCATTTGATTGGAAGGATGAAAAAACCTTTTTAAATCAATCCAGATTTAGTGGCCTAAGCACAGCCAATTTATGAATATGGAGACTGAATTGAATCTGCTTTCTTTCAAGATGTCATTTGAGGGGTAATAGCAAAGGTGAAGTCATTTAGTTACACTGTGGAAACTTTTATAGTGCCTTTCTTGGGGATTTAATTCAGTGCTTCTTCATTTTATTAGGAACAGACTGAGTCCATCAACTGCACTCTCCATGTTTAGAGGCATGACTGCTTGAAGCAATTAGACTCACCAATTAGCATACTTCTAGTGACCCCAGCAGCAGCGCCAGGTCCTTATATTATCCATCTCTTCGCAGTAAGGGAAAACTAGACTGAAACATGCATCCTAAGTGTCCAGGGTGGCGAAAATCACACCCAAGCGGACTTCCTAAGTTACTACTTAGCCCTTAACCCGACAGCCTTCCCCCTGGTTCAGTAATACCACTGCAACTCTTCCACTGAGATGTTTATAGCCCCTTCGCACACATTGTAAATGGAGCACTTCTGTAACGTATGAACAAAGTAATGGCGTTTCCCCCTTGGTTTCAGTACTTGCTAGGAACTATGCCAGGCAGGCCTGGGAGAAAAAACACTGGACGGGTTGGCTCATTGTGGAGAACACACCGAGTAACCAGGGAGTTACTAACTCGTAACAGCGATCGCTAGGAAAGACCATGGCAAGAGAATGCAAACAATGACAGGGCACTTTTTACCCAAGGCTGTCACCGTCGTTAACAAAGAGGGTGAGGTCAGCTCTTTCAGTGGACCAACTTTTGTTGGCGAGAGGGACAAGCGCTGGAGCCACACAGAGCTCCTCTCCGGGTCTGGGAAGGCCGCTAATTAAGCCTCACTTCACTCTTGTTCGGAAATTGTATTAGCCACGTCTTGCAGACGAAGACGCTGTAGCAGCTAGAGGTTAAGTCACTTGCTTCGGGTCACTCAGCGAATTGGGAATAAAACGGGTCTCAGACACACATTGCTTTCACCATTACCTACCACTCCTTCCCGTCCCCAGCCTGGGCTTCGGCTGGTATGTGTTAAGTGCCCTGACTCTGACAGGTGAGAGCAGACACTGTGGGAGTCCTTATAGGATAGGGCTCCACTGAGTGCATGGATTCCTACTCTGAAGTCTCGCCTCTTGAAAGAGTCTGTAGATGACCCACTCTTCGGTAGGAGTTATTTCTGGAGGCGAAGCGGTAGGCGCTAAAGAAGACACCCTTTGCTTTTCGTGAACAATAAGTGACAGAGTTGGCCTTGAAACTTTCCAGCACCAGGCGTTAACCCCAATCCTTTAGGTCCGTAAAGGAGGAGCAGCCCATTTCAACTGAATGAGCAACAACTCTGGCGATCTCGATCTTTCCTAGCCTGCAGAAAGTATGTAGATGCAATTTTAATAATTGACTCACCCGAATACATGCCCTGAAACGACATCTTCAATGCTAGGCGTTTGCGTTAGGCAGCCGCAGACATGATGCCATCTGGACAATCCAGCGTGCTCATGGTGAGCTTCCAGACAGTTTCTCTCGCCCACCTTTGACTTATTTACACACCCACTCGCTCTCTTTTACGTTTTGTCCTTTGGAAACAAGGTTTTTGTTTAAAGTGACGATTTCATTCATGATTTATTTCAAATGTGTGTGCTCTCCTTTGCTGCCCTCCTCCCTGCTACTTATGTTTACATTGTCACCAAACGTTTTGCTCTACACGTGTAAGGCTAAGCCATCGGAAGCTCCCAGTCCTCCACACTGGCTGAGGGCTGTAAAATTCGCTGATCAGTGGAGGGTCCTGTCCTGTTAGGCTCTACGAGCGCCCTGGAACTGCTTGTTCTCAGCACCTGCCAGCATGGGGCCTCTTAGATTTCAGCTCCCCCGCCCCATCTCCCTGAGCAGCGCACGAGCCCTTCTGGCTTGTGAAGGTAACTGTGCCATGCACAAAGGACCCCACACTCCCCTCGGAGCTAAGGGGGCGACTCCAGCTGAAGGGGACGGGGATTGCAGTTGCGGGGGGAGGAGGAGATCCCTTTTCAGAGTTAGCTCTCACATCCCTCAGCAGCCAAACTGGGGTCGAAAGGTGGATCCCACTTAGCCCGGGCACATTCCTGCAGGAGGCAGCAATTGCAGGAGGGGCCTGATTCCACAATCCCCTGATCTCAGGGAGGTACCGATCGCAAGGGGAGCAGACTGGAGCTTGCAACGGCTGGACACCGAACTGAATTGTAACTTTTCCAGCTACCTGCCCACCGTGGTTAAAGTACTAATTAGTCAGCCCTCTGATTCATAGTCAGTTGATGGAAACCAACATCCAGAGAGCCGAGTGCTCAGAAGATAGAGCCATTCACCCATGGGTTCACCACAGGATGGAAGAAAAATCTTTACAGGATGAAATAGGCAATCAGCTGAAATCTATCCTCTTTAAATAAACTGATTCCCTAGTATTTTCCCAGTGTTGGTGTAAGTTGTTGTCTGTGATGTCCCCCAGGGCTCTTTCCTCTCTCTGCTCTCTGATTTGGTGTATAAAAGCAGCCCTGAATGATGGATTACTGTGTCATTGCAGCCTGCGAAGGATTAATTTGTTTCATTGATTTCTCTTTAGGCAGATAGCCAGAATTCGCCGCTTCCCACCTTTCCCCGAGACTTCCAGCAGTAATAGACAGTAATAGCCTAAGACAAATCAGCCCATGCCTGTAAAAATAGAAACACAAAATCCTGAAGTCCCACGAAAGCCATGAAGACGTTCCCCGCCCCACTTTGTGATGCTGTAAAAGTAAGTTTGTATTTAAATTAAACGCTTTTTCTTATGAAACAATGTATCTTATTTTTTCGGAGTTGCTTGGCTTGAAAACTATTTGGCTTTAACGACAACTTTCATAAGCGCTTGCTTGCAAATAATCAGCAGACATTTGAAAGTCAAGGAGAATTGCATTCACGTTTAGCACCAGGCTTTCGTTTTCTACAAGAGGTAAAACCAAGAGTTCGCTCTTTTGTATAGGAAGGGTCGCTGTATAGCTAATCTATTATCGATCTGTCTGACTGTCTGTCTGTGATACTGCAAAGAAATGTGGTTTATGTCAGGCCGCAGAGTCACTGGGCTGATGCGGGGGCGGAGGGAGTTAACTATTCCAGATCAATTTGTCTATAAGTATTAAGAAGACAATTTGATTGAAAAAAGGCCTTGGAACATTTGGATACGTCACAGAAGTAATGAAGAGACAGACAGACACACTGTTAAATGCCTATTACAAGGGAGGAACATTAGGAGCCATGTGATCGCTGTAGTGTGGAGCATTGTGCGCCCAAACCGGCAGGGAAGGGCTATTTACTTTTATCATCTGCAAACATTGGTTGTGCACCTCTGTTTCCTTTCACACTGCGGGGCTGAAAGTTGTATTAATTTAATGTTCTCAAGTTTTACTTCATATGGAATGAGTCGTGCAGTAAAATCTAATATTGCCATGTGCTAATTCTGGGATTGGATAAACTATACTATGCAGTAATAGCAACTAGACCTCCCTGGGCGCACAAAGACTCGCCTCACCCACCCCTCCATTCTAGGTCCTCAGTAGCTCCTTTAAATTACACTGAAACTATCCTATACCCAATGGCCTACATCTGAATCATCTGGAAACTCTAGGACAGTGGTCTCCAACCTTTTTAAGCACAAGTCAGTCCAGGATCTACATCACACCCAAATACCCCTGCCCCACCCCTTCTCCCAGTCCCTGCTCTTGCCCCACCCCTTTCCCAGGCCCTGCCCTCCTCACTGTGATGATGGGGTGCAGGGGAGGGGGATGGAGTGACATCAGCACCCCCTGCTTCTGTCTCCCCCATCTTGCACAACAAGCAGGAGGCTCCCAGGGGGGCAGCTCTGAATCTCTGGGCAGGAGCAGCAGACCGGGTCTGGTCTGGTCGGGCAACTGAAGGGGAAGACCAGCTTAGTGTTTTGAGCATTGGCCTGCTAAACCCAGGGTTGTTAGTTCAATCCTTGAGGAGACCATTTAGGGATCTGGGACAAAATCTGTCAGGGATGGTACTTGGTCCTGATGTGAAGGCAGGGGACTGGACTCAATGACCTTTCAAGGTCCCTTCCAGTTCTAGGAGATCCTCACAGATCCTGATCTACTGGTTGGTGACCACTGCTCTAGGAGACACCAAAATTACAAAATCTATTTTTTAATCCTTCCAGGGGTGGAGGCATTAAGGTGATAGCTTCAAACTTCTTATTTTACATGGTACTTACCATAGGCCATGTTAAAGTAAGAATATTTGGCTGAGAACAAAGCCTGATTTCCTCAGCTTGACAGTTGAAAATGTTCTTTCTCATGCCCAAATAGTATTTTTGTGTTCATTTGCATACTGAGAGCCTCCAGGGCTTGCAATCGAACTTGTCTCCTTTATCACTCCTAGATCTGAGGTAGCTTTTGAAAAATTAGACATATAGCTAAGTATTTAATTTGCCTAAAGAGTGAAAAAGGCACAGCAGCTTCTAGCCACAGCAGCCTGGCAATTGCTAGTATTCAAAGGAATGTCCCTTCCTCCAGGTTTTTTTTTAAAATGTAGGGAGCCAGGCACTGCCTAACCATCACATTTCTGATGCTTTTCATTGTGAAAGAACCTAGAAGGTCAGGAACAAAACAGTTAGACATGCAATTCCCAGAAAATCTCCACTCTGTGGAGTGGGGCTTCTTGTTTGTTTCTGTTTAGCAGCAAATGGTGTTATCAAGCAAGATTTTTATTTTAATATGTTATCTGAGAACCGGGAGCACTCTGTAGTGGGGCACAACACAAGTTATAAGTATGGCTCACTTTGCCTTTGGCTTTTACAGACCCCTTCAGAAAATTTGCTATTCATCCAGCAACTTTTATTCTGGGTAGAAAGTTTTTTCTTGATTTGGTAAAATCGAGTTTGAAGAATAAATCTAATTTCCCCACCCCTTATTTCCCACGATTTACAATAAAACAGTAAGATTAATTCCAATTGCATTCAACTTAAAAGAAAGTTACATCCTTTCATCCCTAAAGGACTAGTGAGAAACAGAGCATAATAGATTAGCAAACATTAACCTTTTGCATTCTTCTGAACGTAGGCTTTATGTCTATGGAAGGGACAACAGTATGATCAGACATAGAGGCTACGTCTACATTGGCCCCTTTTCCAGAAGGGGCATGGCAATTTTTGAAATCGCAATAGGGAAATGCGCGGGGGATTTAAATATCCCCCGCGGCATTTAAATAAAAATGTCTGCCGCTTTTTTCCGGCTTTTAGAAAAGCCGGAAAAGAGCGTCTACACTGGCCCCGATCCTCCAGAAAAAGCACCCTTTTCCGGAGGATCTTATTCCTACATTTTTATTTAAATGCCGCGGGGGATATTTAAATCCCCCGCGGATTTCCCTACTACGATAGCTGAAATTAACATGCCCCTTCCG